ACCACAAAAGACCCTGAATAGCTAAAGCAATCCTGAGTAAAAAGAACGAAATTGGAAGCATCACAATATTTGATTTTAAATTATACTGCAAAGCTATCCAAAACAGCATGGTACTGGCATAAAAACACACACACAGACCAGTGGAACAGAACAGAGAACCCAGAAATAAATCTACGCACTTACAGTCAACTTATTTTTGACAAAGGTGCCAAGAGCATACACTGGAGGGAAGTCACAATCTCAATAAATGGTGCTGGGAAAACTGGATATCCATATGCAGAGGAATTAAAGAGCCCCACCTTTCACCATGTACAAAAATCAACTCAAAATGGATTAAAAACATAAATGTAAGACCTGAAACTATGAAAGTACCAGAAGAAAACATTGGAGAAATGCTCCAGGACCTTCATCTGGGCAAATATTTTTTGGGTAAGACCTGAAAAGCAAAAGTAACCAAAGTAGTAATAGACAAATAGGATTACATCAGGCTAAAAAGCTCCTGCGCAGCAAAGGAAACAATTAACAAAGTGAAGTGACAACCTACAGAATGGGAGTAAATATTTACAAGTTATCCATCTGACAAGGGATTAATAACCAGAATATATAAGGAACTTAATCAATAGCAAAAAGATAATCAAACTAAAATGGGCAAAATACCTGAACAGACATCTCTAAAAAGCAGTCATACAAATGGTCAACAGTTAAATGAAAAAAACTCAACATCACCAATCATCAGGGAAATGCAAATCAAAACCACAACGGGTTATCATTTCACCCATTAGAATGGTTATCATCAAAAAGACAAAAAAAAAAGTGCTGGCAGAGATGTGGAGAAAGGTGAATGCTTGTACACTGTTGATGGGAATGTAAAGTAGGACAACTGTTATAAAAAACAGTATGAGGCTGGGCACAGTGGCTTATGCCTATAATCCCAGCACTTTAGGGATTTGAGGTGGATGGATCACTTCAGATCAGGAGTTCGAGAGCAGACTGACCAACATAGCGAAACCCCAGCTCTACTAAAATTAATAAAAGGCTGGGTGTGGTGGCTCATGCCTGTAATCCCAGCACTTTGGGAGGATGAGGTAGGTAGATCACCTGAGGTCCAGAGTTCGAGACCAGCCTGGCCAATATGTCGAAACCCCATCTCTATTAAAAACACAAAAATTAGCCAGGCATGGTGGTGGGTGCCTGTAGTTTCAGCTAGTTGGGAGGCTGAGGCAGGAGAATTGCTTGAACCCAGGAAGCAGAGGTTGCAGTGAGCCGAGATAGCACCGCTGCACTCCAGCCTGGGCGACAGAGCAAGACTTCACCTCAAAAACAAAACAAAACAAAACCCAAAAAACAAACAAACAAAAATTAGCCAGGTGTGGTGGTGGGCACCTGTAATCCCAGCTACTCAGGAGGCTGAGGCAGGAGAATTACTTGAACCTGGGAGGTAGAGGTTGCAGGGAGCTAACGGTGTGCCACTATACACCAGCCTGGGCAACAGACCGAGGCTCCGTCTCAAAAACAAACCAACCAACCCAAAAAACAGTATGGAAGTTCCTTGAAAAACTAAAAATAGAACTACCATATGATCCAGAAATCTCACTGCTGGGTAGGTATCCAAGAGAAAGGAAATCACTATGTCAAAGAGACAGCTGCAACTCCTTTATTTATTGTAGCACTATTCATATTAGCCAAGATATAGAATCAACCTAAGTGTCCATCAACAGATAGATGAATGAATAAAGAAAATGTGGTATATGTATACAATGAACCATTACATGGGCATAAAAAGAATGAAATCCTGTCATTTGAAGCAACATCGATGGACCTGGAGTTCATTATGTTAAGTAAAATAAGCCAGGCACAGAAAGACAAATATACTTGTCCTCGCTCATATGTGGGAGCTAAAAAAGTGGATCTCATGGAGGTATAGTAGAATGATGGTTACTAGAGGCTGAAAAAGGAAGAGTGGTGGGGGAGGATGAAGAGAAGTTGGCTGATGAGTACAAAAATACAGTTGGATAGAAGGAATAAATTCTAGTATTCAACTGTTCATTAAGGAAATTATAGTGAATAACAATTTATTATATGTTTCAAAATAACTAGAAAGAACTGTAATATTCCCAACACAAAGAAAATATAAATGTTTGAGGCAATGATATCCCAATTACTCTGATTTGATTATTATATATTGTTTGCATTGTAGCAAAATATCACAAGTACCCCCAAAATATGTACAATTGACATGTCAGTTAAAAAATACAAAAAAATTAGATTGTACATACAAATCCCACCTTGTATAAACTGGTAAGTGCCCCAAGAGAAATAAATAAAATTTGAAGATAACTCAGATAGTGGGAGTTATTTCCAAATTTTATTTTGGAGTTGGGGGAGAAGGGATCAAATTGTGTTCATAAAAAGGGGAAAGATTAAGTGAAGTCTTTAAAGTTGGATAAGATATGAACAATCTGGTAGAGATGTGTAGGAGTAGGAAGGCTGTTCCTGATTAATAAAACAGCCTAAGGATATAGAGATAGAGGGCACCCTGTGTGTCATTTGAAAATATGAAAGGTAAGATTGGTTGAGACAAATTACAGAGGATCTTATTATCACAGAACATGTAAAAGAAGGAAGGAATAATAAAAAGAGGATGACAGAAAACCAAAAGCCTGAACTTTAAGGAAATGCTCTTAAAGACAGCAAGAAACAGCGTCAGTTTGATGGTGAAAAAGTACCAAAGGTATTCAGAGAGAGGGAGAGAGAAAAAAAAAAAAGAAAAAAGGAAGTGAAAGAGGTAGATGTTAACACTTGTTCACTGAATAAAAGGAATGACTATTACCGTACACTTCTACAGAACTCAAAAGCCAAAAATGAGTCTAGTGATTTTACAAGTAGAACATGAAAGCAAGATGACATACTCTTTTTTTTTTTTTTTGAGATGCAGTTTTGATTTTGTTGCCCAGGTTGGAGCGCAATGATGTGATCTTGGCTCACTGCAACCTCTGCCTTTTGGGTTCAAGTGATTCTCCTGTCTCAGCCTCCCGAGTAGCTGGGACTACAGGTGCATGTCACCACACCTGGCTAATTTTTGCATTTTTAGTAGACAGGAGGTTTTACCATGTTGGCCAGGGTGGTCTTGATCTCTTGACCTCGTGATCTGCCTGCCTCGACCTCCCAAAGTGCTGGGATTACAGGTGTGAGCTACCTCGCCCAGCCGACATGCTATTTGAATACAGAAGTTTATAATATAGTTAGGAAGACTGGGAACTACTTAACATTACAATATTAACAAATCATCTAGCATGTCATCTACTTTTATAGGTGAACATGACTAAACATGTATATCTGTAGTATTCCTGGATAATTCTGAATCCATGCAGCTTTTAAATTTAAAACTTTAATTAAACAATAAGTAAATCCCTTTCATATGATAGTAAGGGAACAGTGTTTGAATAATTCTGGAGGATTTATTAAATGAAATTTTCTTCTCAGATTGGTGACTTTATTCAGAGTATTATCTATTTCAAAGCAAGTAAAAAACCAAATTTAGCAATACACGAAGTATCTAGAGAAGAAGCACTTGAAATTCAACATCTGTTTATGCTTTATCCCTAGACAAGCAAGAGGTATGAATTCTATAGTGATGTTAGTATCCTGAGTAAAGATGCTGTTGCTCCTACCAATAGATTATGAACCATAACTGTGACAGTTTTATTCTTAACAGTCAAACCAAAGACCAAATTAGCTAGAATATTTAAATGTTAGAAAGAAACTGGAATAGAAATTTAATAAAATAATTTCCCAGGTAAGATTAATAGGTTTGAAAGTCTGATTTTCTTTGTCTCTTCTTTCTCTCTTTATATATATATACATATACATATATATACACACATATAGTATTTTCTCCAGCATTCCACTGAAATATGTTTCAAAAGTAAAATTAAAATCTCTGCCTACATTTAAAGTACAAGTTGGTTAACCATATACTTAATTATAGTACCTTACTTTACCAGGACTATATTAAGAACAATGACAATATAGAAGCTTAAAAATATTTCAGAGGACTGTTTTAAGTGGCTAACATACTACCTCAATTTATTATTGTGAATAGGCTATGATGTTAAATTAAAGCAAGAAAGCAAGCTCTTCTGTGAATGTGATTGTAAAAATGTTTGTATGTACATACTCACACCCCAATATCCACATATCTACCCCCTCACACTCAATGCCACACATAAACTGTGATGACCAATTTTCTACCCAACCACATCGTCAATCAACAATGGTAGAAACTTCCAAGTTTCTTTGTGATGGGTTAGTATCTGGCTTCTGTTTGTTGATCCAAAGTGTACGGAAAGGAGATGCAAGGCATTTACAAATTTTGCTACACAATTAGTTGTTTCAAATATCATACAGACTTCATATTATTGGGTGAAGTCAACATTTTCTTAGCTTTATACAAATAAGAACAACTTTTACCTATATGACATCTTAATATTGCTAACCCTGCCACCCTTACTGGGCAAAATCTTAAGATGATAATGTGGCTTTATATTATAGACTATTTTTGATCCATTCATGTATATTCTGATTTATTTCATGTGATGAGCCTCCAATGCAGTCACAGAAAATACAATATGCTTATTGTATTATTTCTTTTCTTTAAACTGTTATTAAGGACCAAATACTGAATAGCTTTTAATTTCTAGTGATTATTCTTTCATGCTCAAAGTGTAACTGTCACTCAGAATATTTTTTAAAAAAGCAATATGCCTGTAGTCTCAGCTACTTGAGAAGATGAGGCAGAAGATCACTTGAGCCCAAAAGCTGACTCAAGGCTCTACTGCACAGTGATTACGTCTGTGAATAGCTATTGCACTCCAGCCTGAGTAATATGGCGAGACCCCATTTCAAATAAAATAGCAATTTAAACTTTCCATTAAAATGTGATTTGTAGGATAAGAATTTGAAATTAGATGTTTAAGTGCCCATTTAAGAAATACACTTACCTTTGATTCGAGGTAGACATTTGCTGATGACATTTTTGTAATTTTGCATATGTAACTAACTAAAGAGATGGCACAAAGAATAAACAGGCTATCATTAATTAATGCTCGAACAAACACAGTCCATTTCAACTGATTTTCTGGGACATCTCCATGAACTAGCATTGCACAAGTCAAGTTCACCACTAAAAAGACAAGGCTTGCCAATATAAAGCCCAAATGCAGTAGAACTCTGAAAGAAAAAAAGTATATAGATGGTTATATAACTATTAAGAAATTAAATTTTGAATTAGTGTGTTACTTTAGTTACAATAATTTCTTCAGTTTGAAATCTTTATAATTTCATTAAAAGGAATTTTAATAATCTCTCAGAGTTACTTGAGCTATCTTTGCTGTTATAAAATTGTATCTAGATTATTTAAGAATGGCATAGATTTTTTTTTTTTTTTTTTTTTTTTTTGTATCGGGTTTCCCACCAGTTTCCCACGCTTGTGGTCAATGGAGCAATCTTCGGCTCTTGCAACCCCCCCACCCCGGGTTCAGGCCATTTTCCTT